TTAAAAATAGATGTTTATGAGAGTTCACAAAAACAAATGAGATGCCTATTTAATAAAGCAATCACCATGTTTTCAAGTTTATCCATGTTGGCGTATTAACCAATACTTTATTCTTTTCATTGTCGAAGTTTATTGTGTGAACAGACCTCATTTTATTCATCCATTCACCAGCCAATGGTCATTTGAGTCATTTTTGAACTTAAGCTACTGTGCATAATGGTGCTGTCCACATTCATTTACAAATTTTTGTGGGAACGTGTTTGCATTTCTCTTGGGCAGAATGCTTGGTTAGGTAATAAAACTTTTCAGGAGCTGCTAGACTGCTTTCCAAAGGGCTGGACAATTTCATATTCCCATAAAATTCCACTAAATCTTTGCCAGTGCTTATTTTTGTACCAAAAAAGCCAAACAATCAAAAACTCCCAAAAGCATTGCTACAAAATCATAGAAACCTTATTAAATACAAGTATAAAAATATGAAGCTATTGTTTCCCTCTGGGCCCTTACACTTCTGCAGGAGCTATTTCTTTCTTTTTAAAAAAATCATCTTCTTGGGGGCTTGTACAATTCTTATCACAATCCATATATACATCCATTGTGTCAAGCACATATGTACATTTGTTGCCATCATCATTCTCAAAATATTTACCTTCCATTTGAGGTCTTAAGATCGGCTCCTCATTTTTCCCTCCCTCCCCACTCCTTCCTCCCTCAAGAACCTTTCATAATTAATAATTATTTTGTCATATGTTACACTATCCGTCATCTCCCCCCGCCCTCTTCTCTGCTGTCCATCCCCCAAGGAGGAGGCCATACGTAGATTCCTGTAATCGGTTCCCCCTTTCCACCCCATTCCCTCCACCATCCAGCCATCCGCTGGTCCTGAAGGGGTCATCTGTCCTGGATTCCCTGTGCTTCCAGTTGCTATCTGTACCAATGTACATCCTCTGGTCTAGCCAGAACCGTAAGGTAGAATTGGGATCCTGACAGTGGGGGGTAGGAAGCATTCAAGAACTAGAGGAAAATTATATGTTTCATTGTTGCTACCCTGCACCCCGACTGGCTCATCTCCTCCCCACAACCCTTCAGCAAGGGGGTGTCCAGTTGCCTACTAATGGGTGAAGGAGCTATTTCTATCTTCAGAATTCTCCTTTGAAGAAATCTGTGCTTATTGATTTGTACATCAAACAGTTTGACATCCTTGAGGACTTAAATCCTGTTTCTTATAAATGTTCTTTGAGTTTGGGGAACAAAAACAAGTCTGAAGGGGCAAGATCAAGGCTATAGGGTGGATAGAGCAAGTTTCTTAATGAAATTCTCATAGGACAACTTCCATATCTGAGCAGGTGCACTGTCCTGAGGGTAAACAATTCCTTTATGCAACTCTCCTAGTTTTTTTTCTTTTTTAGCCAATGTAGCTTTCAG